TAAGGGGAACCCCTAAACCCTAAACCATCTTCATCCTAGACCCCCCAAGTACCCTAAAATAGGGTCTATGTAGCTTCTATTTGGGGATACTTAGGGTCTATAGAGGGTACTTGGGGGGGTCTGGGATGACCCAGCTCTTATGAGTGGTGTTTTTTTGGTTGTTAAACCTAGTAAGATTATATTCCTTATATAAAATGCTATACCCCAAGAGAGGGATAGAATCTTACTCTATAACGGGTACCATAGTATCCCCAAATAGAATACTACTCTTATGAAGACGTTCTGAACCTTGGAATTCCCCATGCCGTGGTTGGACAGGTGATCGCACCCAAACATGTGCGAAGCGGCATTAAAGTCGCGAACCTCAAAACGCAAATTCCCTAAAGTCTAAACCCTAAACCCAAACCCTGAACCCTGATCCCTGATCCCCCAACGACAAAACCTGGCTACCTCCGACCTAGGTGTGAGCTTCTTGCAGTTTTTCTTCTCGAGGGTGTAGGGTTTAAGGTTTAAGGTCTTCTCCAAAGGGGGCCCTAGGGGGTTGCAATAGGGATTCCCCTAAACCATGAACCCTAAAAGCTTAGGACCTTTAGCCCAAACCTTAAATTGTTAGGGCTTCTAGTGTACCGCTCCTCAAGCACAGTGGTCCCGCGCAAAGCAAGACCTTGCGAAAAATTAGGGGCAAAGTCAGGCGAGCAGCGCTTGGTGCTGAACCCAAAAATAGCATTATATGAACCATTGTCTAAACACCTAGTATCCCCCTTAAACTTAATAACCCCTATAATAGTCCCCTATATGGTCCCCTTATATAGCCCCCTTTAAGGAGTTTAGATTATTGCGCATAGCGGGTTCAGGATTTACACCTTTCCTCCGAAATACCACACCCCAAGTGAGGCCATAATTTTCCTCTATGTTGGGGACTACAGCATCCCCATAAACTTAACAAATGATACTACTCACATGATTCGGGTTCTTCCTCGACCGGTCACCAATAAATTTTCCTGGTTCTAGATAACCATGTAAAAGTAGTTGCAGCTGTCATGAGAACAATAATGTCTAATTACGTATTGCCAAGTTATGAATAATCCTATTTCTCTGCATGCTACACATACTTGTTATCCCCCGGTGTCATAATGATAGTAGTACTGAACTGCTCATTATGGCTAGCCGCCATATATATATATACATATAGACACACATCTATAATAGGCCTTCCATGACTAGGGGGCCCGGTTGCATGCCCAAAACATTAGTCCTTTCGGGTACCTCTTTTTTAAGACCTTAGAAACACTAAGCCCCAAAAACCCTACGCTGTCCTAATTACACAATTGCGGCCTTTCCCCATCAAACCCGAAATTCTCTAAACCCGAAACCCTAAACTCTAAGCCCTAACCCCTAAATCCTAAACCCACACCCGAAACCCTAACACCCCCCACAACAGCCAAGACACCCACATGCCGCAGCAAGGGCGCCAACCTATGCTCTGCTCTAAGTTTAAGCCTCGCCCAGTAGGGGCCAGCAGACTGTCAACCAAAGTTATATTGGGATAATGGAAAGTAAAATGGAAACTACTATAGTATATTGGAGTTTATATATTGGCATAATGGAAAATGAGATCGACAAATTGAAGCTATATAGGGATAATGGAAAAGAAAATGGAAACTACTACAGTAGTGGTCTGATAACAACTTAAAATGGGAGTTTCCCAGAGATGGTGGTACTATGTCAGTTGTCCCCAGAATAAGGATAATAACGACTGTTATTACATATATAGTCTATAAGGGGGACCGTAATTTTGGGAAACTACAATATAGGGATGACCTGCAGACACTATTACTTGGGTGGCCCGACCTGTGATACTGAAGAAATCATTCAGCCTAAACCCTAAACCCTACCCCCCACCCCCGCCCGCCAAGAGTTCAAGGCAAAGAGTTCAGCAAGTTCATGCTGTAGGGGACCCTTCTAGAGTTTACCAGTTGGGCGTTTCCCAAAATTAGGGGCAGGGGGTACCTAGCCTAAGTACCATAGTATTTGCGGGTCTATACTGGGATCCTTGTATTTATGGAGTTTACCATTTCTGCGATCACTATTACTAAGCTATCACTATTCTGGGCTGTTCTTCAAACTTGTGCCCCCTGACTTGACATTTGAGCTGCAACTCCTCGTTTGGAGGAACAGAAGCCCCAAAAATGGTCTCAAGTCCTAAAGATCTTGGTTTATGTGCCACCGAGATATTGTTGCAAGTATCATATGCCAGATTCTAGAGGAGAAGGGCGGGCCTTAGTCCATAAACCCTATGTAAACCTTCAACAACCCTTACTGAGGTACCAGGGAGTAAAACCTGAACCCGAAATGGCATAAGATGTTCAACTGCGTGCACGAAACAATTAAGCTGAGGCAAAGGAATCTTGAACAGTCTATGAGCCATAAACCCTGAACCCTAAAACCTCTCTTTCCAGGAAGTGTAGGACTAAGGACACAAGTCACAGCGCAGGGTTTGGGGTTTGGGAAAGCCGGGGCAAAGGCAGAATCCTGGTTTAGGGTTTCGGGGTTCAAGGGTTTACGGTTGAGGCTTTACGGTTTAAAGGTTTAGCGCTTAAGAGTTTAAGGTTGAGGGCTTAGGGGTGAAGTGTAGCAAAAGCTATGTCTTGTCTCAGCGTTCCTGTGTATTCATAACCTCGTAGAGGTGTATGCCATATGCTCGGACCTTTCAACTGAGCAGCAGGAGTATGGTAACGCCAGGCAACATCACGCTATTCTCAGGCATGCATAGAAAAGACCGCTTGGGCGAATCCGCACAGCTCAGAAGCTAAGGGGTTTAAGGGCTTGGGGCATAAAACCAAGAAATCTTTGAACCCTGTCCACCCTGAAGCTAAAGGCCCAAAAGCCTAAAAATAGACTCAGAAGCCGTAATGAGAAATACTAACCTAAAGCTGAGAACCTTAAACCCTAAATAGTGAACCAAAGCTGCCCACCCTTAACCACCTAAGCCCTAAACCCCCAACCCTAAGCCCGGCCCTAAACCATGCGCCCAAGATGCAATATCAGGGAGACGATCGTGAGGATCAGAAGCAGTGGCACCTCATAGCCCAATAGCGCCTCAGCAGAGCCTTAGGGGTTTAAGGTCTAAGGTTTGGGCTCTGTGGTTTTGATGGTTTTTTTTTATAACCCCGTCGACTCTTTTATTAAACAAAACCATCAAAACCATAGAGCCCAAACCTGGTTTTGATGGTTTAGGGTCTGGGGTTTAGGGTTTAGGGTTCGGGGGTTAGGGTTTGGATTTAAGGCTTCTGCTCGAATGTCACTGTTTTGGTAAACTACTGCGCCTCGTAACAAAACCCCTCAACCCCCGTGATAGTATATACCCCGCCAAAACGAAGCCATCGTATGTTCGAGGAGTACTTATTGATGTTAGGTGGGGGGGTTTATTAGTAGTGGGCGGTGATTAGCTAGGGTTGTCATGGGTAAGTACGCGTGCGTCATACCTCCTGAGGCTATGAGTCCGTTTGAATTTATAGCACCCGAGAACCTCCAAGTACAAGGTTTGTTGACAATCGCCTACACCTAACATTCCACTACCCCAACCCCGCCGGCATGAATATAATCCGGGGGCATGTTGATAGTACAGTGTGGAGAGGAAGTGATTAGTGGAGTTCATTGCTTTGGGCAGTTTAGAGTACAGAGTTTGAGCCATAATAGGCTTGGGATTTCAGGCTAGCAGAAATAAATGTAGGGAATGTTTGCATAGTCGCCGGAATTGTGGCTTGGGAACCCTACATGGGGGACTCCAAGATTTGGGAAGCCCTTAAAAAGGGTGATGAGAATTGGGAATTCTGTAACTAATTAAAGGAGACTCCTGTTCTGACATGTACTTTCTGTACTACTCGGCATATTTTGCTGCGGTCCCAAGTGGGTGCTTGAGGCTAGTAACATGCCAGTCTAAGGCCAGGGAATTAGCGCCCCACACGCGACCAGCACTGCTTGCACGGCTCGGTGCCAGCTACTTGTACTTGGAGATCCATGGGTAAGGAAAATCCCATTATAAGACCCGCGAAGTCCGCTAACATAGTTGTAAGTTGGTTATGTACCCATGAGCCTCCGAGTATGTGGGCAGTGTAGGTGTCATGTAATATTCTCACGTTGGAACCTTTGTATAGCTAGGTACAATCTACCCCAACACCCTATAATAATCAAATCGATACCTGCTGTACACACGTATATAAACCCAGCTTCTAATTCATGTTCCAATTCATTTTGCCCCGTCTTTTCCACTTGATTCTCCGCTATTTCACCTAATCAGGCCCAAAACCCCTAAACCCCAAACCCTATACCCCTAGCCTTAAACCCTAAACCTATTTAGGCCCCAAGGTTCTGCCCTGGCTTTTGCAGGAGCGACGCACCAAGGCAGAACTTTCAAAGTATTGCAAGTATAGGTTTAGGTTTAGGGTTTAGGGGTGTAGGGGTTTAGGGTGTTGGGTTTAGGGTTTAGGGGTTTGGTGCTTAGGAAGTGAGAGGACGTTGGTAACCCAACCACCATAAATCTTGGCCCTTATGATAGCTTTCGATTCCTAATTTCAGGTGGTCGGGGGTTAAGCAAAAACTTCTTATCAGAGCTCCAAGGAAATCTCCGTCCTAAGGCTGGATAGGATTTGTAGCTTTCGGGGTTCATTGTTTAGGGTTGTATAGGGCTTTGAGGGGTTAAGGATTGTTGGGCTTTAGGGTTTTAGGGATTTTGGGTTTGGGGGGTTTAGGGTTTAGAGTGTAGAGGACAAACAAGGTAAACTGCTGCTGAACCCTAAGCATACTCCGAAACAAAGATCCGGTGAGCACAAAGACGAAACACTAGTGTTCTCCATAATGGTAACCATGGAAGACTAGAGTATGGGATATTTCCTCGCTATAACTAGGTTCCAAAACAACCCCAAGCCCGAAGTCCAACCTGAAAAATGTTTGCTGCTCATAGAGGGAAGCCCCTTGTCTTAGGTTGAACACTTTGCCCCTGGTGCCGGCCCCCCACTCGGAATCCATACAGGCATGCCCGTAAAAGTCTTCCAGCCTAACTAGGACCCATAGCAACTAGGAAACAGATGAAGACGCCCCTAAAACCCTAAACTGCAAAAAGGGAATGTTGATATCTGCGCATGCCTGCAATTGCACAAATGGAGCCTTCAGCACATGAAGGTGTCCACCCAGCAGTAGCCACTGGTAGTAACCTTGTCTCGGAGGGAGGTTAGGGAAAAACCCGCAAGTTAGGACGGTATAGGGTTTAGGGCTTTAGCGTTTAGGGTTACTCCCGTCCTCTCCGATATTATATTCCCACCGTGGTTTATGTACTTCAATGCACTCAGAGCATACCTCTAGTGAGCCCTGTAGAGGGTTAAGGGTTTACGTAGGGGAGCCGTAAGCCGCAACACACACCCCTAAACCAAAAACCTTAAACAACTCGAGGAAATCCTCCCATGCTTCAAAGGCAGTCGCGAGGCTCCCACGCTGATGCGCATACGAAGCCTTTGGGGAAGGCGCGGTCCCAAAGTGCGTAGGTTGTTGGGCTTCTGCTTAGCATGTAAGGTTCAGGGTTTAGATTTTAGGGTCTAGGGTTGAGAGTTTAAGATTCAGGGTTTCCAGCTTGGGGTTTAGTGGCTTAGATTTGAGTAAAGTTGATCCTCATGGTTTAAGGGCATAGGCAAGTTTCAGCAGGTGGTAAGTCTATTTCAGTTGGGCATGCTAATACTTCGGGCATGGCTTCCCGCTTTCTGAAACTCTCTCTCACACACACACCCATGAGTCTGACACAACTGCAGTTCCCTGTTGCACATCCAAACCTGAGCCGAAAGATCCCCAAGAATGAAGCCTCTGCAGAAGAAACAAATCGGTCGAGACCACTCACCTGAGCTAGAACTGAGCATTTACGCTTAACCCTAGACCTTAAACGTCAAGCACAGGTGTCGTAGGGTGGCTACCAACCTCACTTGCCTTTGTCAGCTCTTGCTGGCGGTAAGTGCGGGGCGAAATAAAGGAAAAGAAAATGGAAACTACTACACGGGGGTGTAAGGTTTGCGGGTCTCTAGGGTAAGGGAATGATGGAGCAGAATGTAAAGATTATAGCTTGAGGTTATTCCTCCATTCCTTTCTGACCCTAAGCCATAAACCTTAAACCGCAGTCTAGGGTTTAGGGTTTAGGGCTTAGGGTTTAGGGTTTAGGATTTAGGGATTCTGGCCACCAGTAAGTGCTTGACTAAAAGCATCATGCTTCAAAGTTCTGCTTGCAAGTCCTCTAAACCCTAAACCCAATGTACGTGGATCCGGGCCCAAGGCGCATGTCTGCAATTCCAGAGCTTTTCGGGGTTTTAGGGTTTAGGGCTTAGGGTATCTTATGCGCTGACCCCCCTTAGGATACCCTATGCTACTACAGGGGAATACTCCTTTACAACTCTATCTAACTATTGTACAACCTAGCCGCAAACCCTGTCAACCTGCCCCTTCCAGTACAATGCCTGATACCAACACAAGATACCAACACATGTGTCCATGTCATCTTCTAATTTTCGGTTCCATGCGATTCTCCACATTCTTCGAATTTAGCCTCTTACATACCTAATCACCCCCAAACTTAAACCCTAAAAAAGGATGTTATTCTAGCTGTCCGGGCCCTGACAGTAGTCGAGGGTCAAGGTTGTCTTTTTTATGTGGGTTATGCCCAGGGAACAGACCGTGTAGGGTTTAGGGTGTAGGTATTAGGGATTAGGTTTAGGGTTTAGGGTTCAGGGTTTAGGGATTACGTAGGCTTTAGCGTTCAGGGTTTGGGGATTCGGGTTGGGGTTTAGGGCTTGGGGATTTTGAATGGTTTCATGGCCCAGAGACCCTAAACCCTGAGGGTGCTGAGGCTCAGGGTTTCGGATCGAAGCCTGGACCCTCAGAGGTTACGGCCTTCAGGGTATGAGATTTAGGAGTACTCCCTATAGCCCCTACCCAGACGTCTGGGAGTATCCCCTTTAAGAATATGGGCAATTGGCCCTGAACCCTGAATTCAAAGCTTCTACGATACTTCCAGGCTGGACTTCCTCATTCACAAGACATATAAGTTCGTGACAGCTTCACACAACCAGGATTAAGGCTCAGAGTTGGGAGTTAAGGACTTCATTAAGGCTCAAACCCTCAACCGCTACAAATTAACGGTTCATTAGAGCCCATAGTGTTAGGGTTTAGGATTAAAACCCTAACCCGTTTCGGGTTCACCCTAAACCCTGAACCTCTTCAAGTGACTTGCGCATCCCGTAGCCCGAAACCCTACACCCCCTGTTCAGGTGCTGCGTCACGGTAACCCCTTACTGTTTAGGGGTTTAAGGGTTTAGGGGTTTAGGGGTTTAGGGTTTAAGTGTTTGGGGGTTTAGGGTTTTACGGTTTAGGGTTTAGGGTTTAGGGGTTTAGGGGTTTAAGGGTTTAAGGGTTTAGGGGTTGAGGGGTTTAGGGTTTAGGGGGGTTTCTGTTGGCGTCCTCTATGTATGGAAACTGCCATATGACTGATGCAGGGTGGGGGCAGCACAGAACCCACTGGTTCCGACAAGCTGCAAACTTGTCAAAAAGAGCCCAGTATGGCGACCACGACAGATGCACCGTCTTCGCCACAAAGACGAGGGCATACCTCAGCGCAGGGCCCAAATGATGAGAATAGGGCTGGGGGAACAAAATTGAAATTATTCAGCTTTCTACGTGACCTATCTTTATCTTCTCTAGGATGTGCAAAGCCCTATAGATCGGGTTCCAGGTTCAATGCTTGGGGCTTAGGGTTTGGGGCCGCGCGTTTTGCGCTCAGGGTTAAGGATATTCCTGAGCCACATGCCCGTTCTTCGGCTTCTAGGGTTAGGGCTTACGGCTTCAAACCAAAAATCCTAAACCCTACAACCCTAAAATCCTAAAGCCTTAACCCTGAACCCTAAATCCTGAACCCTAAAACCCTAAACCCCTAAAACCCCAAACCCTAAACCACCCCAAACCCACCAAAACCCTAAAACCTGAACCCTAAAACCCTCAACTCTAGACCCCCCCCCAAAACCCTAACCCTTAACCCCTAAAACCCTAACCCTGAAACTCCTAAACCCTATGCCATCCTAGACTGCAGGAAAGCCTATAGCCCCCCTTAAGTGGCTTTGGCCATATTGCAATAAAATCCCCATATACCCCATATTCGATCCCCTGATGGTATCGGCCTTTGATCCTGGGGCCCTTATTAAACTTTAGGGTTCAGGTTCAAGGGGTTTTGGGTGTAGGGGTTTAGGGTTTAAGCTTTAGGGTTCAGTTTCAGGGTTCAGGGTTTAGAGATACACATACCATATACCCGATAAACCCCAACAGGAACCCAATTAAGGGCCATAACTAGCTAGGCAGCGGGAAAGAGGCAGGGGCCCAACAGAAAGGGCTCATGGTTAGGACCGTTCGGGTTTAGGGTTTAGGGTTTGTGATGATTTGTGACTGTCCTTGTCCCGAAAGCCTAAACCCTAAACCCGAAGCCTTAAGCCCTAAACCCTAAGCCCTAGACCCTACAGCCTAAACCTGAAGCTGCACATGGACCTGCAGGCAGCTGCTTCAAAGCATAACTGGCCTGGAAGTATACTTTCCTCACCAGCAGCAGGATTAGGGTTCAGGGGGAAGCACCAGTGAGATTAGGGTTCAGATTAGGGTTTAGGCTTCACAATTGTAGGATTCAGGGTTCAGGGTGTGGGGTCAGTCACGGAGTTTTCCTTTGTACCCTTAGGGTTTGTACCCTTGGGCTTGGGTCCCTAAACCACGGAATATGGCCCTTTATATGGGTATTTGGGACGACCTAGGGTTACAAACATTAGGGGTACAAACTTACAGTCTTTGATTCAGGGTTTGGGCTTTAGGGTTTGGGGTTTGGGCAGCCCTAAACCCTAAACCCTAAACCGCGTTTATAGCCAGTCAAGGCACAGGAGGCCAGCGTTGCCGAAGATTACCATCAGGACGAAGTACCCATGGTTCCTGGCTGAAGGATTGAGGGTTTAGGGTTTACCCATGGTTCCTGGTTGAAAAATTTAAGATCTAAGGCTTTGGGGTTTAGAGTTGAACAATGTGTGGTTCCAGGTCGTGGGGTTAGAGTTCGTGGTTCAGGGCTGAGGGTCTAGCATTAGACATTCAGATTGTTACGGCTGGCAAAAGAAAGCCCGTTCTCCCAGTGGCGTAATTAACCTAAACCCTAAACCCTCGACCCCAAAAGCACAAAGGGAACACATCCACACCATGAGGACGTTGACGTTTCCAGGGGCTTCAAGCCAAAGTCTTCAGGGTTTGATACTGCACGGGTATGGACCATGGTTTATGGAGGTTAGGGTTTAGGGTTTAGGTGCCGGCAGTCAAGCTACAGAGCCTCGAGGAGGATATGAATCGAAGAGATTGACACCAGTGACTTGTCGCCAAGATGGGGTCCCCAAGTTATTTTTTTGGGAGTGGCGCCGAATTAGTTGAATGACCCTCAACCCTAAGCCCAAAACCCGGAACTGCGTGGGGTTTGGCGCTTTAGGGTTCGGGCACCCGAGTCTTGAGAGACATCCATATGGGACGAATGACATTTTTTGGTTCTTTCTGGGGTACCCCTACATATTAGGGTCCGTATCATGATAGGACGCCAACAAAATCACAATTTGACACCCTTCCCTTTAGCTGCTGTCACCAAGGCCCATTTTAGCGGTCCTGGCAGTCGTCTTCAGCTGGATGACTATGATGTGCTACTGCTTAGGACCGGTCACTGTTTAGTGAGGAAGTAAATCAAATCATCACACATCCCGTGTGTAACGTAAAATAAAGTATTATGAGACCTAGATTTGCTGCCCCGCTTCTCCCCGAACACCGGCAAGTAACACTTAAGACTTACCTATACAATCTGAAGTAAGGCAAGGGCTCTAGCCCTAAAAGCCGTGCGGAAAGGGAAATCCAATGCTGCCTACCATCTCCACCGCCTTTACCGTCAGAGTAGGCGCTCGTCTTAGGCTCGAGCACAACTTCCTTCCTTTAGGGTTTAGGATTGAGGGTTCACGGTTTAGGGCTGAGGGTTTAGGGATTAGGGTTTAGGATGTCTTTTCCAATCTCAGATGAGCTATAATCTAAACTCCTAATATCCCCTAAATATCCCCCCACAAGACTCTCCCGCATAATCCCCTATATAACCCCAAAAAGGAGTTTAGATGAAAGATCAGGTGGCTCCTAATCCACCCCGTCTCCCCCTCCGCTATCCCTACTCTCATCCTTTGTCTCCTGAATGGGAGTTTCCCAAAATTTGGGATACCTTTTTGAAGGTCCCTAGAATAAGGACTATATTAAAATTGGGTCTAAAATGGGGTCCCCCTGTTTTGGGAAACTATTGAATCTCAAGACACAGCCCCCAAGGCCCAAATGCAATGCATCCCATGTCCAGTACACCCCAGACCCTAAAGTCTTAACCCAAGAGAAGCAAGCCCGCAATCCTCTCGCCGATGATGTTCTCGGTGATCACGCCTCGTACTCACCACTGGGGAGTCGGGGCGGATCCCCAAAAAATCCTTACATGAGCAGTAGTCTAAACTCCTAGCATCCCCCCTAATAACCCCTATCATAGTCCCCTACATAATCCCCTATGCAACCCCCCTTTAAGGAGTTTAGACGATAACTCACATAGGTTTGGGTTCAAGTTTTGAAGTTTAGGGTGGTGCCCTTAGAGAAACAAGAGAGTTGATACGTCTTAGCCTCTGATTCCTAAACCCCAAAACCTAAACCCCAAAAACCTACACCCTAAACCCTAAATTCCCTAAAACCCCCTAAACCCTCTAATTCTGTAAACCCTGAACCCTTCATCAAGGCTTTGGGAATTGGAAGCCTAAATTCGGAGTTGCAGAATATTTCTGCCGCCTTAGAGGGTAGGGTTGAACGTTGATGGCTAAGGGTTTAAGGTTGAGATTTCAAGGTTTCGGCGCACATAAAGGGTTTCGAGTCTAGGTGTTCAGGGTGCAGAGTTTAGAGTCCAGGGCTTCGGGTTTCGAGTTCAAAGGCGTCGGGATTTGGGTTCCTTCTGCGCACATTTTCGTGATTTAACATTTTTGTTTGGTTGTAGAAGCCAGAGGTAGTATTCAACAAGGACCCGGGATTCCTAAACCCTAAACCCTAAGCCGTAAAGTCTAAACCCCAAACTCTAAACCCTAAACCCTAAACCCTAAGCCGTACAGTCTAAACCCCAAACTCTAAACCCTACACCCTAAACTCTAAAGCCTAAACCCTAAACCCTAAACTCTAAATCCTACTCCTTCCGGTCCGGAGCTGCCTTCCCGAGGTCCTTGATGGCACTTTGATGCAACTGGTTTGCAAATGCTATGGGGGGTTCCCAAAATTAGGGATACCTTTTTGGGGGTCCCCATAATACGGACTATAGTATTTGGGGGTCTATGTTGGGGTCCCCCTATTTTGGGAAACTACCCTATGAGCTATAGTCTAAGCTCCTGCGGTGGATACTAAACATCCTGCAGGACCCTAAGTACCTTATACCTTGGGAATTATCGTATTACATTAAACTAAGGTCATGCAGGATTTTTAGTATCAACAGTAGTATCCCCCTTGGTTTAGGATATAGAGTGCAAATGATATGAGCTAAAGTCTAAGCTCCAAGAATCCCCCTTCACAATCCGTTTAGGGTTTAGGGTTCAGGGCTTACGGTTTAAGATCTAAACTCCTAGCATCCCCCTTCATAACCGTTTTAGGGTTCAGAGTTTAGAGTTTATAGTGTTTAGGGGCTAAACTCCTAGTTTCCCCCATAGCTAGCCCTAGAATATTCCTCTATATAACCCCCTTGAAGGAGTTTGGACTATGGCTCATATGGAGCAGGGTGTTAATTGTGGCTTTTGGTGAGCGTATGTAGGAAACCTTTGGGGGATATTGGTGAATGTATATATTTGGCGTCCAGTATGGGAGACGAGATGGCACGAAAGCAAAACCCACGAGTCAAATGTGGAATAGCCGGCTTGGGCGAAGTCTAACCGAATTCCATGTTGCTCGGTAGGGCTTGGAGAAATGGATCGCTGTAGGACTCCTTCTTTCATCTCTTAGAATGTTGCCTATACATGTTTTCCGCCATTCCCTGCTAAGCGCCAAGGGAAAGTTGGGAGACGCTTTTAAACAAACTGGAGTTAAATTAGAAAAGGAGGCCTTCATTCATGTACTAGGTAGGAATGTTGCCAAACACTAGACTTCACTCTCTGTGGCAGATTGAAAATGAATGCTGCAAATCTGCGGCTGTACTTCGGAAAGATCTCATCTGTCAGCTCGCAAGAGGCAATTCCAATCAGAACTTCGCAGGTCGTCCATGCGCAGAATGTCTTACCCTACGCCCTACACCCAGGACCCTACCCCCTACAGCCGATCGAAACCCCTAAACCCTAACTTTCAAAATTGTAGTTTCCCAAAATAAACGGACCCAAATATAGACCCCAAACTACTATAGTCCTTATCATTGGGACCCCTAAAATGGTACTCCTAATTTTGGGAAACCCCCCAAATCCCCGAATCGCAATGCTGCTGCAGGTGCAGAAGGCTGCCAAATGCCAGAATGGCCCCTCAACCCTAAACCCTAAATGCCGTTCAGGGTTTAGGGTTTAGAGTGTAGGGTCTGAAATCAAAGATGTTGATAGCCAGGTAGGCACATCATGAAACAATGTTATCTATCATGCTGCCTGTGAGGGGACAACAGGACACTTCCTGGTGATATACAACTTGGGTGTTCCCTACCTAGGTTGACAGAAAAGCTGTCATGATTGCAGACGCGGGTCAATAGTGATCCATGCGCAGGACGCACTGTCCCATTCGCTTGCTATGATGAGCTCGCGGTGGCTTCCTCACAGCATCAGAGCAAGATTGTTCAGTACTAGTATGATTCTTAGATTTCATAGTGTTATTGCGATCATGTGTTAGTACTCTTCACCATTCCTTCTGCCTGTTCTGTCAAAGAAAGACCTTAGACTTAGACGTGGTCTTTGGTTCACTGCTACAACTACATGACTAATAAACTGAGCTGGCATTCACATATCCGCTTCACACATGTCAGCATCATCCCTGTGCAAGACATGAGAGAATGCCAGGAAAGCCGGGTCCTATACCTCACGTCTTCAACCCCCTAAACCCTCAAATCCCAGATACGCACGTGACCCAAAACCGTACATCCTCAAAACCCAAACCCCAAACCACCTCAAGCTTCAACAGCTCCCAGAACCTGGGTTTGGAGCTTCACGTTAGGTAAGGGGGTTATAGAGGGGATTATATAGGGTTACATTGGGTTATACAGGGTTATATAGGGAAAAGAACTATGAATTTTGCCGTAGACAAAACTACGACACGCAAGATCAAGACAATGTTCAGCAAAACTCCCCCCATCCCCTCCCCCCACGTCTTCTACCTCTAATATTATTGAACCCAACCACACCATAGTAGTTTCCATTTCATTTTCCATTTTCCCAATGTAACCCCAATATATTTCCCTATAATCCCTATATAACTCCTATAGATGGCTTGAAGTATGAAACCCTAAACCCTAAACCCTATTGAAGTATGGGATCCCTAGAGCAAGCCCCATAAAGTTCTCAAGAGTGGCCCCGGAATCCTTGCCCCTCTTCCCTGCTAATTACTAAGGAAACACAAAGGGACTAAAGGGTGTATATAGGATTACATACGGGTACTTGGCTTTCAGGGATTGGGGCTTAAGGTTTAGGGATATTGCCAAGGAAGGCCGCTACTTGATAGATCTTTTACCAGCCGTGCCGCCACCGTTCACAATGTTCGCACCAGCGAGGGGTGTAGTGCAGCTGCGGTCCGTCCTTAGCTAATGCGAACCCCATGCAGGCTCGGAGTCTTGGGGAGATGGGTTTAGGGTTTAGGGGTTTAGGGTTTAGGGGTCTTTGACGGGGGGTGGATCAGGGCTGTGCGTGTTGTTGTTTCAAGACGCAAG